AACATATGGCTATTAAATAGCTATGATATGAGTTAACATCCCCTGTGTAAGATTAAAACTGTCTCTCCAATTAGAGAAACACAGAAAATACAAGTTTACATTCAAACAAAATAGGAACACCGTGACAGATCCCATAAATGTTTTCACTGTTTCAGAATGCAACTACAGGATTACTTTTTTTCTTTTGAGACACATAGGACAAAAGCTTACATCAGATTGCTTATGTTAAAAAGTATATTTTTTTCCAGGTACTTGGAATGAAAACAAAACTAATTAGATAAAGCCCAAAAGAAAAAGACTCTTTTATTAATAGCTTTACTCCTAATGACCTATGTCAATTAACTTTTTTGGTCTAACTCCAGATTTGGTACTAACCAAATGAGTATCAAATGAGTTGAAGGATGATTCAGTTTAAGCCTTATAAATTACAAATGAAGCCAAGACTCATTAATCTACACAAAAAACAAATGGTTAAATCTTCAAATCTTTGTTCAACTGTTACTCGATTCAATGAAGCTTCCACTAATCCATTTAAAATTGCAACCCATTACCATTCCCAAACTCCCTTTGCCCTTAATCTGCTTTCCTCTAATCTCAGTCTTCTCTAATACTACACATAGGTTGCTAATTTAATGTCTTTTCTTTATTAGAATGTAAACTTCAGGAAAGCAACTATCTTTGCTGTATTCATGGATATTTCCAAATAACCTACAACCTGCCTTGTACACAGATGTATAAAAGTTTATGTTTAACATAGAAGTTTTAGGCCCTTCTAAAAGACATTTGAGACGAATATCTCACTGACAAAGCATGATGAACAATTTAAATGGAACCATGATGAACAATTGCAGCACAAATTCTAAGTTGGAAAGCAGCAGCAAAAGCACAAAGCAGAAAATCATTTTTTTTTAAAAAGGGATCTGGGGAGGTGGCCCTAGTTCTATCCCCAGCATCACAAAACAGTTTTTATTCACAATGAATCCCGTAACCAAAGAAATTCGAATGTATTATTTAGAGTAACTGTATTATAAACCTATTAATCTAAAAAACAGGGAAGAAGAGAAGGAAATGTAGAATGGGAAGAGAGATGGATTAAATAGTGATAATTCCTAATGTGCCATGAAATTACATAAAATTCACCAAAATAACTGAATCACAGACTAGCAGCTAATAACCTTTTGGATCAAAGAGGGGGTTAACAACAACAAAAAGGCTTTAGAACAATTCCCCTCAGCAATTTCATTACTAAGTAAAAAACACAATAGATAAAGCACAGTTCTTCAAAATTATATTCACATATATTATCTCATTAAGTCGTCAAAGGAACAAAATTCAAAATTAAATATAAGGGGCTGGGGTTGTGGCTCAATAGAGCACTCGCCTAGTACATCCTCAGCACCACATAAAAAATAAAGACATGTGCCCAACTAAAAAATATTTTAAAAAAAGCTAACAAATAGGGCTGGGGATGTGGCTCAAGCGGTAGCGCGCCCGCCTGGCATGCGTGCGGCCCGGGTTCGATCCTCAGCACCACATACCAACAAAGATGTTGTGTCCACCGAGAACTAAAAAATAAAAATATTAAGAATTCTCTCTCTCTCTCCTCTCTCTCACTCTCTCTTAAAAAAAAAAAAACTAACAGCCAAGTAACGAACAAAAGCTTTTAATTTATGTAATGTATACACTTAACAGTACACACAACTACTCCCTTGAAAACCCTCTCAGTATTTGACAAACTACACAGAAAACTATTCTATAGAAGAGCCACCTTCTTGGCCTCAGAAACTGATGAGTCTTCTGAAGAATAATACAGCACAGCTAACAAGAGCCATAAAAAATCTTGAAGCCCTTTGACCTAGTTAAACCACTCCTGGGAACTTTCTCCAGGGAAATAATTACACTGAAGCAAAAAACTATTAGTATAAAGATGTTCATTGCACCACTATCTATAAAAGCAAAAATAGTGGAAACCCAAAACCAAAAATAGTTAAGTAGAAATTTCATTTAACAGATTGTTCTGTTTGACTAAAAACCTTTAAATATTTTATAATACAACACTAAAGGGAAAAAAGCTGACCACAAGGTATACACAATCACTACAACTACATAAAAACAAAAGGTAAAAAAGCAAAAGAATTGGATTAAAGTAAAATCATGCTCAAACTTAAGTCTAGCTGCATTATTCTTTTCTACCTCAAATGTATTTGATAAAGACACAATAAATCATTTTCAAAGTCATAAAAAATCTATTCACAAAGTCAGATATGAAATGTTAATTAAGGCAGATGGGGACTGGGGATGTGGCTCAAGTGGTAATGCGCTCAACTGGCACGCTCGGGGTGCTGGGTTCGATCCTCAGCACCACATAAAAATAAAGATGTTGTATCCACCGAAAACTGACAAATAAATATTAAAAACTCTCTCTCAAAAAAAAAAAAAGGCAGATGTGAATTTGGACTTTCAAGAATATTTTGCCATCTCAAATCAAACCCAATGTTACTTTTTCTTTTTTCACCCCTGCTTCCAGAATTACTGATATACACTAACGTAAGGATATCAGAAGTTGTAACTGATTTACAAATAACCCAATAAAGTGGGTAAAAATCTAAGACAATTCTACATTGAAGAACTATACAGAAAAAATTTCCTGTGGATTCTATGAATCCTATACATTAGACAAAACTTCATTCATCAAAATAATGACATAAAAGAATTAAAAACAAGAATCTAAATTAACCTTTAATTTTTGTGAAGATTCAAGTAACAAAAAAAAAAAAAAAAAGATCAATGATACTAAAACATTCCAAATATCTTTGATCACTCAATCTACTGTGGGTCTGGATTTTTGTTATAACCTAAATTTAAGCAAAACAGTCAATCAAACTTAAAAAATTATCCTTTTAATTTTTAATTATGGGACTAGGTTGACTAGATCCCCAGAGATTTCTTCCTGACACCCAAGAAGATAAAAAACCAGAATGCATACTTTTCTATCAAAATCATATGAAAATTTTTTACCAAATGACACTGAAAAGGGAAAATTGAAATTACAGAACCCTGGATGGACTGATTAGTGAAATGGCCGCTTGATTTAAGTAGTTGGGCTAAGCAGTGTTTGCAGTGCTTGGGACAAGGGGAAACTGGGAGGTTGAGGGTTACAAGTCAAAAACTGTCCTCAGCAGCAAAGTTCCTTAAAAAAACAGCTACAATTCATCTTAATAGGTAACTTCTGCCGTAGATGAAACTTCTTTGGAAAGGCACTGCTGAAAATGTGTTTTTTTTAAAAAAGAAAATCAGTGAATGAAGAATCCCCTTATCCTACCTTGGAAAGCCCTGGATGTCTATTTAAGGAGGTCGCTGGTCAGTGGCCCTGCCAACCAGGCCTAGGCCTGAGGGAGGCACAGTAGTGCCTGCAACACGGATGGACTCTCAGGGCACAGAGGAAATGGACTTGTGTGCCCTTGGTGAGCTCTGGCGGCACTCCCCAAGTTAAGGACACCAGCCACAAAGGAATGGAGTCTATTGGCATTTGCTTCATTTGAACACTAAGCATTTTCTTAGTTCGTGAAATACGAACTGACAACCACCCCCCACCAACAGGCCTACCGGCACAAACACACCCTTAAGAGTCAAATCCAGTTAGCTGGGACAACACCAAGCCTCCAGCTTCTATCACAAACCTGGAGCATGGGTAGGGAAGAGGGGACAAAAATCCAAAGAAACTCCCCATTTCTACCTTCAGGAACCCCCATCACATCCCAGGCTGCAAATCCTCTCCCCAAGAAATTATAAACACTGGGTCCCCGGCTTGTAGCCTCCAGGCTGCCGTCACCACCACCAGTCCCAGCCCCAACACCCGAGTTCGGCCCTCGCCCACCACTCCCCAAAGGCGCCTTCCCCTCCGCGGCCACGGAACAGCAATGCGGATCGGCCACCGCCCGCGCGCGCCGGAGACCTTGCGGGGGAAGGCGGGAGGCCGGCACTCCCCACCCCTTCCTCAGGTGCGGGAAGGCGGAACGCTGCGGGAGATTGCACCGGGCCCCACGGTTGCAGAGTTCTGGACCCCAGCTTGCCGCCACCTTAGGTTTAAAGGGAGGAGGATGCAGGAAGCCACTGCTTACCTACCTCACCCCGTCCTTCCATTTTCTCCAGAACAGGGAAAGGGAAGGTTGAGGACAAGAGACCAACCCCAAAGATTCCGTAGAAGCCCGGGGGTGCCCCTTCAGCGGGGACAGGAGTCACTGCCCTAACTCAGGCCCCCTCCCTCGATGTTCCCTAACCCGGGAGGAGGCATGTTTCAGCAGACGAAACAAAACCTAAAGACCCCTCCGATGCTAATTTTTAAAATGGGGGTGGGTCGCTGCCCGTGCATGCCCCCCCTCATTGGGGCAGGAAAGGTTTCAGGGAGGTGGAACAGACGCTGACAATTGCCCAGACCCGCGAACCCCTTCCAAACACTTAAATGGGAAGGGAGGGGGTCCCGTCCCTCCATCTTGACCGTTCGGGGAGGGGGAGGGGATGCTGCAGAAGGCTGGATGCGGCCTGACAATCCCAGCAGAATCCCGCGGCGCTCCCCAACCCCAGCCCCGTGGCTGCAGACCCGAGCGGGGACCCC